CGATCTGACGTCGTTATGTTCAAGTCGACTTACTATGGATTCTACGATTGACCATCCATCACATTTGCCGAAGATGAGGAGTGGGTACAGTGTGCTAACAAATGAACAAGCGGCGGTAGTCCAGCTCAAACGCTTCGGGAGTTCTTACTGCTAAGTTCAACCTCGTCCAAGTAGGGCCTTCTCGGATTTTTGGTGGAACACGAGAGGAGTTGAGCTCTGGAAACCCCTACGTGTAGATGTCGCAGTCAACGCGGAAGTCAACTATCCACAGCTCGAATGCAACGCTTTTAATACGAAAGAAAAACAAGGCAAAGTTTGCTTTTGTATGACACCGTTGAAAAACCTCTTGCTAAGAAAATTCAGGAAAATTTCGAGACTCTGGACGGAGAGTTCTTCCGTATTCACGTTATAGCCCTGACCTCGTGCCAAAGGATGCCCTTCTGCTTCCCTCTCCAAACCATCTCCTAGAGAAGAAAGCTCATCCTAACTATGATGATGTCAAAATCGACATCTGATCTTTCTTCGATCAGAATTCAGTAGAGTCCTACAAGGGAGGCATCGAACAGCTACTAGTGCGTTGGCAATAGGTTGTAGATATTGATGGTGGGTAGCATGCTGGATGAATGGAACAAAAAGATAATAAAAATATTAAATTCAAAATTCAGCCAGTTTGTTGCAAGACTTATGGACCGACCTAATATTATTCTAACTTTCCCTTGAACTGCCTGCCACAAAGACAAAACTGAATGTTGTGCATATGCGATGCATGTGGAACGCAGTGTGTTTAAAAAAAATTGGTGGGCAGGTTCTTTCATGTTCTGGTTTGAAATAATCAAGCTACTCGGGTTGCTATGCTTGTGGTTTGAAGGTCATCTCTTGATCACCTCGATTTTACTTCCACTTCTTCCACTGCCTGGATTCCATTGAATGCATCTCACAGTGAGAGTTTTTCTTTCGTTCTCACTGATATTTACACTTTCCAGCTGATTGAGATCGTAGAAGCTATTTTTCAGTCTCTTTTTTTTGGCATTTGACTTCTGAATAGGATCATTACGGTTTCGAGCGATGACCTTAATTCAGTAATTTTCAAGATTTTTAGCCCCGATGTCACCACAGCGAATTGCACTCCTTCTTATCATCGGGCTTCTCGTCGATTAGCTGCAAATCTCCAGACCTTTCGAGAAGGGTTGTTCACGCGATAAACTGCGGTAGGTTCATCTAGAACTTCGAAATTGCAACGTAAAACTTTTTGAGCCTCTGAGACTCCTAAAAACCTCTAGAATTTGTTTTAAACGACTTTGCACTATTTCATCTCCAGTAACGCGAAGAATGTATTCGCTGAACTTATAGACGATCAGCGATCACGTAGGCAAGCCTTTCAAGCTCACACAGAAGGACTCTAGCGTCCTGATCATATTTATGGTTTATGGTATTTCTTGACTCTGATATTTTATTTATTTACTTAGGATCTCATATAGGAGGTCCTATGTTTCATGACTGGCAGACTACGTATGGTGTAAGGATGTGGGGCTTATATTATATTATTGTAGGAATCATAGCGAAACCGTAACGGGTCCTGACGGTGATGGTAACTAGTCAGCACTCTAAATATGCAGCCTCTGTACTGCGCGAGCTGTGGGCATTGATGGTCTTGCTTGGAGTGCCTTTTGACGTAAGAAAATACCAACGAATTGTGAGGGAAGTTTAGGCGCTAAATTGAACCTCTGTCCTCGTATATCTAGGGCGAGAAAAACGACAATTTCATTGCATGTTTCTGGTTCGAATTAAGGAGGGTTTTACGATGAGAAGGCAGCTTAATGGAAATAAAGGTGGAGGTGATCAGTGGAGCAGGAATGAAGAAGAAACCATGTGGACGGCTCGGAGCCTGAGAAATATGTCCTTTCTTGTCCGTTGATTTCTGCCCTGATGTGAACCACATCGTTGTGCCCTCTTCAACGTTAACGCTCTCTCTGCTGCTAACCTCGCGTCGCGTATAGACCTGCGGCGAGTGAATAAGGTAGTCGGTGGGCATTCCGGGCCTATTGCGCCGAAGGGATGGGAAGGCCGTGCTGGATGGGCTTATCATTCGATGCGAATTTCGGGTTGGTCCTTTTGTCTCTCACTGTTCGATGTGCTTGTTTCCAATAGCATTATTGAGATTCAGGCGGATATCGGTCACGGTTGGGAGCGTATGGGATCATGGGTATCAAGAGGTCAGTCTGTTGGGCATAGTGGCTCTAGTATGGTTTCTCGCAGACATCTTCCCGAATGTACCGATAGAGGACCGAAAGCTCTATGAAGTGAATGTCTTCGCTGTAGAGTACTTATTTCTCAACCCTACATAATTCTTTAGACTGGAAGCGGTTATCACAACGGAGATCTCACATACACGTTTGACATTGCGAAGGATGGCGAATACGTGATCGTGTTGAAGTTCTCCGAAGTATATTTTCAATCTTCTGGACAAAAGGTCAGAATTTATAGAACATTCCTTATTCACGAAGCACGAAACATGAAAGCAGACAACACTTATATGTAGCTGGTGCAACTGCGAGGCTAGTGTGAGTTGCATGGATGGAAGCTTGTGAATGGGCAACAATTATAATAAAGTGAAGGCGGGGGCGCGTTGAGTGCGAAGAGACGAGTGTAAAGGCTTCACTAGGAGACGGCTCAAAGGGCATGCAATTGGCGCTAATTTTGGATTGTGCTGCCACGCTATTAATAAATGAAACCTAACGTGCACGAACAGAAGAGGCCAGAAAGAGGAAGGAAAGAGACACAGGTGCGGCACTAACGCGATGCCAAACAAGCTGGGACATCATTCTTCAACGCGACACTATATCACTCCTTAGGTGGTGCCGGTTGAGGCAGAAAGAGCAACAAGGCAGCGTGTTAACAGGCTGACTTTATGGTGTCCCAATAAGCTTTAAGGTCTACCAGAGCTGCGCTACGTCTACACACCTGTTACGGGATCACAGGATGGACCAGCGGTTTTGAGTTCTCTTGTCTTGTTGGGTTGAACTGTGTGATCGGTAGATATATTTATACCAGTTAGCTCCGCACGCAGCGGCGCGCATTCGCGCTCGCGGCTCTTCGCTCGCAACTGAGGACAACTGATGCTGCAAATACGTAGGCTCGGCATGAGAAACTAACATTAAGATGTCTGGAAGATGTATCGCGTAATGTTTGAAGGTTGTCGCGTATTGCGCGCAGTGCATGCGGAATGAAGCTGGTATTTATCATGGCTTCGTAAACATTCAGCATTCATATCGAGCTCGAATGATCCGGTTAGGCGGCTTACCTATCAGAAGTTCTCATAATTAAAGCTTCCGCGTGCTGTAAAGCTCGCAACACTATAACAACCTCCTCAGCAGATCTAAAGCTGTGATGGAAGTTCTGGAACGTATAGTTGCGGAATTCTCTACTCGCGTCCGTCCAAGATAGTTGGGCAGCTTACTTTCTCTGCTTCTCTCGAGGATGAAGGAGTCAGGACTGCGAAACGGCCCAGTGCACATGCTCAGGGACCCTGCGTTTGTTTACTTGAGTGCACGCCTCAACTTGTCGCCTCCGCTTTATTTCAGTTAAGTTGTGCTCATACCTTTCTGTCACCTATTTCAACCCTCGGCACTTGACTCCGTTGTCCAGGGACTAATTGCAAGCGCACTGCGCAGAGACCGTGATTAAAAGACGCTCTTATCATTCACTGTGTTCATTTGTCATAGTTCATTGGTGTCGCAATCTTATGTCCGGGCCAATCTCACGCGGCAACGTGTAGGAGTCTAAGCTATTCACGCACACGGCAAGGCGCCAACGACACATTGGAGCAGCCAATCAACATCTACCTTCCTTAGTCACGCTTGCTTCGTTATCGCTCTGAGCCATTCGCTATCGCTGTTCCGCGTCCAGTCCCTCGGGCACACTCGCTCGCAGAGCGCCTCTCGCTCTCGCACGCGCACCGCAACGAAACTGGTTGGTGGTATCCCACTTGCGCCTTAAACGTCTCATTTCATAGTTCGCTACACCACTTGATTCACTCATGTTCCTCGCTCGCTCACCCCCCAATTACTCACTCTGCGCTCGCGAACTCTGCCGTCAACGCCGAAGCGCGCTTCGTAACGAAAATCTGGTGAATCAGCATGTCGAGGTCCGTTATCAGCTCCTCATGCAATTTGTCTATCATGTCCGCCCACCCGTACGATCATGTTCGTGTCCAGGCCCCACACTATCCTAACGTCCTTTTCAGCGCCTCTGGCGCCAAAGGCGCTGAAGTTATGAATTCCGGTCAGATCACCAGACGAACCGCTTAGCCGATTACGTTAGGGTGAGTAGCGACTCTCTCGCACAAAGCGCCAACATTTCCTCCTCCCTCTACACGATCTCCACGCTCTCGTTCACTGCTCGCATGTCGCGACTCTTCGCTGTTGAACGCGCGACAAAACAAGCAACAAACAACCAAAATCGCCTTTAGACTATATCGGGCCATCAGGAGCCACGGGTGTTGCGTATGATCTGTGAGTCCATTTTACCAACCATTTGCATTAAATGTGTGTAGCTCACTAAATGCCAGGAGAACGGATTATGTAGCCGTTAAAAAAATGCCCGAGGTTTATTAACGCCAACGCATGGGTCAAAGCACAGTGGAGTTTTTGCGCCAGGACGCGGCCCAATTGATCCTGAATAGGTGCCTGGACCTCCATGAAGCAGTTGAGTGCCGGATAAAAATCTTGAAACATGAGTAGCACGTGTTTGGCCTGTACGTTGACTTGGCAGGTCTGGCTTTTCCTCTAATCAAGGGGATAAGGATCTCATTACCCAACCCTTATTTTTATGAGCTTTAATCAATGCGCCGCGTAAGTTTTTATCTTCCCAAACGAGCATGGTACCAATGAACGGAATCTCGAGCAGCGCGGCCCGATGGAGGAGTTAACTTGGCTGGCGCAAGGTTCAGGTCGATGATTCGACTCGGGCGGACAGATGCTGTCTGCTTGCGCCACTCGCAGGACTCGCCACTTCCATCCCTTCCGCCAATTAGTGTGAGAATATCATCTAATCTGCACATTATCCTACTATATATAAGCGGCTAGCGTGTGTCTGTTGGTGTGTGTGTGTATGTTTGACCGGAAATTCATAGCTCGAGTCACAGTAACGATAGCGCAGTGGTTCTTACATATGTTATAGGGGGTGGGATGGGGACACAAGTGGTACGTGATAGGAACTGATAACGACTGATAATAGCTGATAAGAGGGGCTAGAAAGCGAGCATCGCCAATTTCGTTTTGCCGTTCATATTGGTAAGGGAGCGTCTATACTAACAAGTCTTATGTGGGGGCGGTCGCGAACATTGGTGCGGTGGTACATGATTGGAAGCGATAGCAACTGATAATGGCTGATAAGATGCGCTAGAACGCAAAAGTCGTCGATTCCGTTGCCTGGCTCGCCTTGACACCAGAGCAACCATACTTACAAGTGTTATGTGGGGTGGGACGGGGACATTGTTGGTGGGTGCCAGAAACTGATAACGATTGATAAGGGCCGATAAGGCGCGTCAGAACGCAAAAGTCGTTAGTTCCGTTACGCAGCGTTGACACTAGAGCGTTCCTACTTACAAATTGTAGTAAGTCGTAGTAGTACAAAGAAAGGTACCGGTTGCACCTCTATTTCGCATACGTTTGGCTCACTTCACCAGTTTAGCTCCGCCCGCTACCGCGCGCATTGATAGAACTGACAATCGATGAAGCTTTAGGTTTCACCGCTAAATTATAGCTGCTTCGTTAAATGTATTACTGTCCGTTGCATAGGCTGGCTGTATCTCACTGTATGATAAGCGCAGTGAAGTGCACAGCTAAACTAATGATGTAAACAACCACTATGCGTCGAGTATCGAGGTAATTTAGCGGTCGAACCTCAAAACACGGAATGCCCAGTATTCATTATCATATTTATGTCGAGCATCCCATTCATCCTCAAGAACTCTAGAAGGTGTAGCGGTCGAAAGGTGTTTGAGTTTACAATCACAACGCTGATGAAATGATATTGAAATAAAAGGCATTATCTACAATCTGCTCTCTATTTTCTATTTCAAGTGCTCTCTACGTTCGTACGCGCTATCGTTCCTATCAGTCTTCTCGTTATCACTTTTTGGCCCCACCAAAATATGTCCCGTCCCACCCCCATATCATGCCCAAAATCAGCTCCTGACGACTGCTGCGAAGCGCACTATGAATTTCGTGAAATTTGTGTTTCAGCGCCTCTTATCTGCTCTTATCAGTCGTTATCACTTTGTGACCCCCACCAAATATGTTCCCGTCTTACCCCCTATATCATGCCCCAAAATCAGCTCCTGACGACTGCTGCGAAGCGCACTATGAATTTCGTGAAATTTGTGTTTCGGCGCCTCTTATCTGCTCTTATCAGTCGTTATCACTTGTGGTGACCCCCACCAATATGTTCCCGTCCCACCTAACATCGTGATCAAATAATCAAGCTGCTGAAGCGGGAGCCTGGGCTGCGATACGGGCGCACTTGTGAAGTGTCTCGTGAAAATTTGTGTTTCAGCGCTCTCTGTATTCGTGCTCTTAGTCGCAGTCGTTTATTACACTTTCGTGATCGCCCTCAACCATAGATGACCTCCCGTCACCACTCAATCATCAGCATAACTTCACTGACTCAATTCAAGAAAAGCACGCCGCGCTACATCCTAGCAGTTACGGAGCTGTTCTCTCGTCTATTACGGCCGTGCCCCCCCGGATCGGGCCGAGCGCAGCCATGGAATTTCGTGAATTTGTGGTTTCGGCCGCCTCGGGTTATATGTCCTCTTATCAGTTCGCTATACATTTGGGACGCCACCAAATTGTGGTCCCGTTGCACCTATATCATGCCCAAAGATCAGCCTACGGATGTGCTGCGAGCGTGCTATGAATTCGTGACCACACAGAACACACACACAGGGGGACAGACGAGACAGACTGGGTAGCGCTGCATACATTATACGAAGTTATATCGACTTACTTAATAGAATCGACTGCATAAATTTAAAAAACAAGTCTTCAGCGAATGATAAGTTTCATTTCTGACTATTAAGAAAACCCAAACTCATTAAACCGCTAATCCTTTCGTGGTTCTAAATAATGATGAATGTAAATGAATGATAAGCATTAGCTCCTCACTTATGTAAATAGGCATATTTCGTTTTGATTTTGAGACTGACAGCAATCCTATTCACCGCTAAATTATCTTAATTCAAGAAAAATGCTGGATGTTTACAGTTGTGATCAATATACCAGTTCAGCTCCAGACGTTATCACGCGTATTCTCGATGAGCTTCAGCGAAACTGTGGAGGTCTAACACAGTCAATAGTGAGATGGTTAATGGAGTATCTCATGCTGATATTCCATGGGTCCTCCAATTTCGCTAAAGCCTGCCGTGTGATGCGCGCGATAGCGGGCGAAGCAAAACTGGTAAGTATACGATAAGATGGCACGTTGTTCGAACAAATAGATTCAGTGAAACACGAGCAGCACCTGTGTCTAATGTCT